AACTGCACACGACTCGGATGCCAGGCGCCAATACAGGCCACTTTGCGCAGACCTTTGTGCGTCTTTCGCGGCAATTTCTTTGTGTGCCAACGACTGGTCACTCCTTTATAACCCTTTCCTTTGGTCACACCAATGATATCAATCATCTCATCCACGTTGAAGACCTCGTCAATCGACACCTGCTTCTCGAAGTGCTTTCGGCCCCAATCAACCTTCTCGGCGATGGTTCCGCCGTTCAGTTGGATCTCCATTATGTGTGCCTTCTTCTGGCGCTTTCGCATCAGTTTCATCTGCAATCGCAAAACCAAACCATGCATTCAATTAGCAAAACAACGCTAACCGCAAACCACGTGTTTTGTGGCGCATACCTGTGTGTGAGCGATGACTCGCACAACAGTGCAGTACTTCTTAATACGGATCAAGTCCTTCTCGATGTCGCGTTTGCCGGTCGGATCCGCCCATTTCTTAGCCGTTTTAGTGAATGCCTTCTTCTTTGATTTATACCTTTATTTAGATTCAGATTTCGATACGAAAGATGAGATAACAGTCTCGTCACCGAACAGAACCGCTCGACGAGTGGAGACCATAAACATCAATGAATTGATGCCAAACCTTAACTCTTGAAACACGTGGTCTCAGAGGAGTATAGGAGTGGACACCAAAAGTGAAGGCAATGCTTACCAGTTCTTGTAATAGCGTCGGCGGCACTCTTCGCTCAAATGCTCGGCCCATACGGTCTTAAAGGCGCGCAAACCCTTCGGGGTCTCGATGTAGCCAACGATACCGACGATAACCATCGGCGGTGTCTCCAGAATAGTCACGGCTTCGACCACTTCCTTCTTATTCACCTCTATTTAAGGGACAAAATGGTGAGACAATGGATGACCACGTGTTGTGATTGTGGACATACTTGAACCGGGTTTGTCCACTTCGCGCACGACATGAGTCATGCCTGCCTTATAGGTGAGAAAAGCGGTCAAATGGATCGGCTTTTTGGGGTCGTCTTTGGGAAAGGCTTTGCATTTTCCTCTATGTCTTCGACTCCTCTTCTTGGGAGTGAAGGCCATAGAGCCATGTCTTGGCGCTGAGAACTTGCGGTGAGACTAAATCGTGGTAACAATTCAGAGGTTAATTGAGTCCAAACTAACGCTTAATTGCATTGCAATTAGCGATCAATTGAATGATTGAATTCAAAGTACAAACCATTGGTTAACACGTTTTGAATGGAAAGGAAGTGGAAATGTGTGA